ACAGATGGATGGATGATAAACAGATGTATGATGGATGGATGATGGATGGATGGATGGATGGATGGATGGATGGATGAACAGATGGATGGATGATAAACAGATGGATGGATGTATGGATGAACGGATGGATGGATGGATGGATGGATGGATGAACAGATGGATGGATGATAAACAGATTTATGATGGATGGATGAACAGATGGATGGATGATAAACAGATGTATGATGGATGGATGATGGATGGATGGATGGATGGATGGATGGATGGATGAACAGATGGATGGATGATAAACAGATGTATGATGGATGGATGATGGATGGATGGATGGATGGATGGATGGATGGATGAACAGATGGATGGATGATAAACAGATGTATGATGGATGGATGAACAGATGGATGGATGAACAGATGGATGGATGATAAACAGATGTATGATGGATGGATGATGAATGAACAGATGGATGGATGATGGATGATAAACAGATGTAAGATGGATGGATGATGGATGATAAACAGATGTATGATGGATGGATGATGGATGGATGGATGGATGGATGGATGGATGGATGAACAGATGTATGATGGATGGATGATGGATGAACAGATGTATGGAGGATGGATGATAAACAGATGTATGATGGATGGATGATGGATGAACAGATGGATGGATGGATGGATGATAAACAGATGTATGATGGATGGATGATGGATGAACAGATGGATGGATGATGGATGAACAGATGGATGGATGGATGGATGGATGATAAACAGATGTATGATGGATGTATGAACAGATGGATGGATGATGAACAGATGGATGTATGATGGATGATGGATGTAACTCTATAAGTCCTGTTCTCTCTCACACTCTGGTCAGTGTTTTATCTGAAGCAGGTTCTTTGAGCTTCTTCAACTAAACGTTCTTTTCTTCAGGCTGCAGAGGTTCTGGCTCCACCAACACTTCTGTTCAGGAAGGTTTTTTTAAACCCAGAAGGGCTGACTCTACTGGGAGTGAAAGACAAGAACGAGACATGATGTTCAGTGAACCTGCTGCTTCTCTTTCTGCTGGCAGTGAGCCCTGATGATGATGATGATGAAGAAGCTTTAAAAAGTCAGGCAGTAAAGGCTGGAACTTGTATTTTGTTTTATATGCACGTGTCTGAACACTGCCCCCATAAAACAAGAAGAACTGGTTAATTTTTGATTCTTTTCCTCGCCCAGCTGTGTGGGGCATAAAGAGCATCGAGCAGGAAACTCTTCCTCACTCCGTCACAGTCATCCTCTCATAGGACCAAGGGACACTCTGGACTGGACGTGTGGAGTCTAAGACCTGAACCATGATGTTGGGTCTGGAGCCGGTGTCCGTGGAGCCTCTGACCTGTAGCCCCGAGGCCACGCTCTGCTCAGGTGCAGACTGCCTGATGCCTCCCAGCGACTTCAACGCCATCCTGAGCGTGGTCATGAGCACGGTGCTCACCGTCCTGCTGGCCATGGTCATGTTCTCCATGGGCTGCACGGTGGACGCCCACAAGCTGTGGGGCCACATCAGGAGGCCCTGGGGCATCGTCATCGGCTTCATCTGCCAGTTCGGCATCATGCCCTTCACGGCCTTCGCCCTGTCCTTAGCCTTCAACGTTCTGCCCGTGCAGGCCATCGTCATCATCATCATGGSCTGCTGTCCCGGGGGCTCCAGCTCCAACATCATCTGCTTCTGGCTGGAAGGAGACATGGACCTCAGGTGAGTCTGGGGGAGGACAGATTGGTTTCATACTTGGGAAGAAGTGGTCTAATTTCTGATCGGACACTGACTGAATGGTATGTGCATGTGTGTATACAGCGGGTAAAATAAGTATTGAACACTAAATAAATAAATCAAATCAAATCAAATTAAATGCAGAGGAGGAAAGAGTCTCCTTATCACAGACACCTCCTACAATAAGACGTTTCTTTGGCTCTCTGTTTATTATAATCCTGGATAATCCCCACCAGGACAGTGATGGAGGACGTATAGGACAGGGAGAGCTCCTCAGGAATGTTTCTTTACGTTCCTGCAGCCGTGCATCAAAGTGAAAAATGGAGTTGGATCTAAAAAAGGACTGGARCTCATAAATTAGCCTTCAGTGACCCACGCAGAGTCAGAGCAGAGGAATCATCTGTCCTCATGGTTAGAGTCTCCTGCAGCAGAGCTGCCTCACAGGCTGAAGAAAAGAGCTTTGAATGGTCACAAAGTTCAGTTCTTTTACAGGTTTTCAAGAGGAAAACAGGCTGGATGAGCTGTGACGCTCAGCTGGGCTGTTTACAGAACAAATCCGAGATTTGTTTTTACTTCCTTTCATCCAGAGAAACATTCTTAGTTTGATTTACCAGACTGAAATAAACAACAAGAAAAAGACTATTATTATTATTATTATTATTATTATTATTATTGTTGTTGTTGTTGTTATTGTTNTGTGTGTGTACCTTTCAGCAAGGCTATAATCATTATAATTACATAAATATGCATTTTTGTTGCTGTGTTTTTTGTTATCTCTGTTTCTGTAGGTGTACAGCCAAGACGTCAGGTGTACTGTCTTGTGGTTTCTCGATATACATTTCACATATCTTCTAATCTCTCTTTCACTCTTTCCCATTACATTTCACTTTTTTCTTCTCTTTCTTTTTCTTCTTAAAAAAAGTCACTGATGATGAGGAAATTAAGAAAAAAAAGAATTGGTCTAATGTCAGGCACATTGCATGGGTCTAAGGAAAAAAAATTGTATAGGTCCTCTGGACGGGTTCTTCTTTAATGAAACGTTTCGTCTCTCTTGCATGGGTCTAGCTTTGGAATCCTGGAAATGGTCCAAACTAAGAGGTTTGTGTAACTTTTAGTCCAGCTGGTGAATTCGGTGCAGGTAAACCCCATTTCCAGTCTGTCCTCCTGGCCCTGTCCTTCAGTTTTACCTGTCTCCTGCACCCTTCAGTTAATCTGGATTATATTTAAGATGAGATTATCTACCAATCACAACACAGCTTCGAGCTTATCTGGGTTTATAATAAACCGTAACATCTTCATCAATTTAAAAATGTCCTGAAACATTTTSAACGACCCGTTAAATGTGTAAAACAATCCTGTATAAAGGGATTATTAATGCTTTATAATGAGTTTCTAATCTCAGGTGTTATAACTACTTAGTAATGATTTAATAAGCRATGAATAAACATTTACAGCTGATTAAAAGCTGTGTTTTTAAGTATTTATTAGCCATTATTTAAGGTTTCTCCTATTGTAAAGTGGCACCAAAATATCCTGAAATAATAAGCTAATTTAAATTTATTACGTTCAGAAGAAAACCTGATGTCAGTGTGAAGCTTGTGAAGAGTTCACACTATTATTCCAGAATAAACTTGTTTGTTGTCATTTCAGGAGCTAAATTTAACAAGGCCACCATCTCTTTCTCGAGACAAACTGTTTCTTTATAAGACCCAGTTCTTGTTSTGGGTCCAGTAAAATGGACCTGATTGTGTTTTTCCTGTCTGCAGCATCAGTATGACCGCCTGCTCCTCCATCCTGGCTCTGGGGATGATGCCTCTCTGTCTCTTCATCTACACCAGCGTTTGGACCTCCAGCGAYGCCATCAAGATCCCATTTGACAGCATTGGTTAGCAAATATCTGACTTTAGATATAACAATCTGACACCAGTTTTGTTTTGTTTACTTATATGAGAAAAAGAAGAATCTTAATTTATCTTTATTTAAGAGCCTCCTCTGATCCAACCCTTTGGCTCCTCTGTTCTCTGGCTTCAACCCAGTCTCCTCTGATTAAACTTTCTGGGGTCTTTCAGGAATCACACTGGCAGCCCTCCTCATCCCCATCGCTGTGGGCATGTTTGTGAAGCACAAGTGGCCCACAAAGGCAAAAAAGATCCTGAAGGTGGGAAAGTTTGACCTTTTGTTTTCARTTAAATCAGTTCCATGAATTTCTTYGTAACAGTGTTGGAGCCAGGTTCCGGGAGTAGCTGAGGGAACAATGTTCTACTTCGGTGCACATCTGAAGTGTGGCGGACGCAACACGTGACAGTTGAATGTTGTATCCCTCAGCCTCCAGGACTATAAAAGTTTTACAGTCCCAGAAAAGTTTGCGGCCACCACACACATCCTGGAATTTGATGTTCGGGAAGAACCGGAGCTTCTCAGACAGGAAGCCCTGGACTACGCACTCCTTCACGTCCCTGSCCTTACTGCTGAGAAGCTCATGGGCTCTCCTGAATGTGTGGAGTGCTGGGAAGCTTTTTTTGTGACCAGCTCCTTGCACAGGACCGCCACCTTCTGGCTCCCACTCAGCCTCCCAGGWTGCTCTCCCTTAAGAGCAGCGTACAGGATCTCAGTGTTGGTCCTGAAGATGTCTACCAGGAGGACCCGCATCAGGGCAACCCCAGTGACGGAGGGTGCAGCATCCAAGGTYGGACAAAGGGGGAAGATTCATTCCAACCGAATGGTCTGCAGCTCATTGTGGGTCCAGTGATGTAGTGGTGGCGGAACCTCACCAGCACTGGCTGTTGTATGGGGGGGCCAACCCAATGGACTCCCTGCGATGTGTCAAGCTGTTGGGGCTAACAGTGTTGGTCTCAAGAGACACACTGAGCTGGTAGTCGGCTTTTGACAGGGGATGTCCATAAAACATTTCTTCCACAGCCCTCCAGCARCTGTCGTACAGAGCCACCCCCTCGTCCTGATCAAAAAATTTGGCCAACTTCATGACAAAATGATCAATGACAGAGTGGAGACTCAACACGGGGTCAAAGGGAACATTGCTGTCATCGAAGGGTAGGACCAATACATTCTCCTGGAAGAGCGTGGCCAATGCTTCTTCACAGAAGAAATGCTTGGAGCAAATGTCGGTGGGAACAGACCCCTCAAACCTCCGCACCTGCTCAATCCTCAGTCCCAGCTGGACAACAAGTTTGTCCTAGCCCTCTCCAACAAAGCATTCTGGAACTGAGGATGAAACAGACGGCAGGTAACAATGGCCCCAGTGACAGGATGCTTGTACGGCATCTGTACGTGGACAGGAGGTGAGTCTATATACATCAAGGACATCAGACAAGGCTGACTGCAGGCGGATGAGATGGTGGTCCAGGTTTGTATGACAGCTGGTGGCCTCATGAATTCCCAAAACAGAATAAAGGGAACCTTGAGGACCAACAAGCACTTTAAAGGCAAACTGGGAAAACAACAGGTGGATTGGGGGGTCCACAGCAGTCACCTTGCAGGCCACATGCATGGACAAGCTGACCACTTCCACTGGGTTGACCCCACTGAAAAGGTCAAACTCATCCTCTTCCTTCTGGCCAAACTGAGTAAGGAAAAAGACAGGCTTAGGAAAGCCATTGTCACCAGTGGTGGCAAGAGCTTTGTCCACAAGGGAGAGGATGAGTGGTTGATCCTTTCTGAGCACATTATAAGCACTCATGTTGGAACTGACCTGCTGCTGCAAAGTGGGTCTGCCTTTGTCCTTTGCTGAAGCTGATTTCAGCTGCTTCTGGAACACTGTGCAATTCAACATCTCACAGGTTAGAAGCCTGTAAATGTCCTTCTGAAGTAGCCTTGTGTCAGGGACTGTTGGGGACTTGGGCACAATCATCAGCATTAGATGGTACCCGCCATCAACAAGTGCGATATTGTCCCATGCTGTTTCTCCATGCCTGAAGGCCAGCTGGACCAGATGTTGTCAGGTGAACATGTTTTTTCAGCAAGTTCCACCCATCCTTCAGCATGTGTGGCTGCATGTGAGGAAGGAGAATGTAGTGGAGGATTGCCAGGAAACCAGACACCCTTTTAAACTCAACCACCATCAATGTCATATTGATATTGCAGACTGGTCTCAGGATCACTCACATAAGTGGAGTGAAATGGGAGGTTGGTGTCAGCTTGTAGGAACTCACTAACATTTTCAAATTGTTCCACAGCATCATTGATGGTCTGTGAATTCAGAAAACCCACTTCTGCAATGTCACTCTTATAGACAGGTGTATAGGATACAAGACAAAATCCAAACTCCAACTGAAGTAAATCCCACTCAAGGGCTCCTTCTATAGGCCTCCCTGCAGCCAAACACAATATAAACTGCCTACATGTATTATACAGTTGTTAAAAATACTCTATAGCTTATTACCACGCCCACACACAATTCTAATTTTTACCACACCCACAGCAATGTTGGCCACACCCACCTGAAAATGCCCATGAATTTTGGACACACCCACTCACGTATGGCTACGCCCACAACACTTCACAACTCTAAATCATACTGCCCCACCCACCCACAATTCTAATTTTAACCACAAACACAACATTGTAAGTCCCGCCCACTTGGACATGCCCATGACAAATTAGACACACCCACTCATGTTTAGCCATGCCCACAACACTTTAAATGTGTAAATTTTGGCACACCCATTTGTTGACTTAGGCACATCCCCAAAACATGTTGCCACACCCCCTGAACATGCCCACATCCTCATGACCACGCCCACACTAAGCTCCACCCATAAAACAATCTACATTTCCATTTGACTTTGACATGTGAGGTGTCTATGAACTCAGGGGGAGCCACTGAGCATGGGAAACCAACTCCCAGCTTGATAAGACATTCCTATCGACACCTGAGCGTTTACCACTTGATGGAGGGACTTGCTAAGGTTCTGGACTGGGTTTGTTTTCCAACAGGTGGGTTCTGTCGTTGGCTTTCTTCTCATCATCATCATCGCGGTGATCGGAGGCGTCCTCTACCAGTCCTCCTGGACCATCGCCCCCTCCTTGTGGATCATCGGAGCCATGTACCCCTTCATCGGGTTTGGACTGGGGTTTTTCATGGCTCGCTTTGTGGGTCAGCCCTGGCACAGGTGGGCGTCGGCTTTGAGGTAAAGCCTGGTGCTTTGTCTGTATTTGTGTCTGATTTTTTATCGTCATTCAGGAGTCGAACCATCGCTCTGGAGACGGGTTTTCAGAACTCTCAACTGTGCAGCACCATCGTCCAGCTGTCCTTCAGCCAGGAGGAGCTGGACGTCATGTTCGCCTTCCCCCTCATCTACAGCATCTTCCAGCTGGTGGCAGCGCTCGGCTTTGTGGCGTGTAAGAGTTGAACATACATTTCTTTACTCTGCCTTTTATTTGTCCAGGATCTGTAGTGTTGTCACTAAACCCTGTGTGATTCCCTCTGCAGCCTTCCAGCTGTACAAGAAGATGTGCAGAAAAGGTTCRGCTGATGCAGACAGCGAGGCCCCAGGCTCAGACTCTGATAAAAAGAGCCCGGCTTTGGACAACCAGGCCTTTGAGCTAAACGAGAACAGCACCGACAATTTAAAAGGAACATATAAGAAGATGGAGCAGTGAGGTCCCTGAAGGATGCAAAGTCCTTTAGACTGGAAACGTCCCTTATCCTTCCTGCATCCATCCTGCATCCATTCCTCATCCATCCCTCATCCAACCTACATCCATCCTTCATCCATCCTGCATCCATTCCTCATCCAATCCTCATCCATCCCTCATCCAACCTGCATCCATTCCTCAACCAATCCTGCATCCATCCCTCATCCATCCCTCATCCATCCTGCATCCGTCCTTCATCCACCCTGCATCCATCCTTCATCCAGTCTTCATCCATCCTGCATCCATCCTGCATCCATCCTGCATCCATCCCTCATCCATCCTTCATCCATCCTGCATCCATCCTGCATCCATTCTTCATCCATCCTGCATCCATCCATCATTCATCCATCCTGCATCCATCCCTCATCCATCCCGCATCCATCCTTCATACATCCTGCATCCATCCTGCATCCATTCTTCATCCATCTTGCAACCATCCTGCATCCATTCTTCATCCATCTTGCAACCATCCCGCATCCATCCTTCATYCATCCTGCATCCATTCTTCTTCCATCTTGCAACCATCCTGCATCCATTCTTCATCCATCCTGCATCCATCCCTCATCCATCTCTCATCCATCCCTGGTCCGTCCTGCAGCACTCTGCAGGCTGCAGATTCAAACCTGCAGCTGGGACAGATGTTTCGGTGTCAGACCTGCAGGARGATCTAACCAACACTGTTTCAGATTTAAACAGAAAGCTCTCCCTCCCTTTAATTTATTCATTTAAGTTTATTTGAATCCATTTGTATGTTCTGTCAGTGTTCTGTTTCTCAGATCAGTGGTTTAATTTTCCTGATCTTATTTTAATGAAGCACATCATCTGTTTTCATGGAGCACTTTGGAAACAAAGGCCTAAAGTCATTAACAGGAACGTGAAATGAAAGTATTATATTTAATTTTCCATCTATCTGTATTCCAGAAGCAACTAATAAACAGAAACCCACTTTAAATTAGAAACATTCTACCTGATGTGACTTTAAATCACAGCTTTGTGTTTCTTTAGCTGTAAAACTTACTGTTGTGTGAATGCTGAGTCAGCAGAACAGTTTCTTCTGCAGTCAGATAACATCTGAATACTTCGTGCTATTTAAAGTGTTCATGTGTCAAAATCTTTGACTTGTTCAGGAACAATGTGCAAAGTTTTACCTGTTTGTACCTTTTACTTTAATATCAGAGTCTATTCCTTTAAACTTTCTTTTTTGAACCTGCTTCAGCTGCTGACTCTTCTTGTGCTAATTGTAGCTTTTAGCTGCAGTTTTGCTGCCTTTTAACACAAACAGCTAAGTTCCACCTCTTACACATTACAGCAAACATTCAAACTGCATTTTAAAATTTCTCTAGTTATTATTGTTTTATTATAAGTGCTGATAAGTGTAAGCTTTTTTATTTTAACAGATTAATATAAATCTTTTTTAACAGAAGCCTGTATAAAGCTAATTTTTGTCACATGTGAGCTGCTGAAAAGATTTAGGAATTGTTTCTCATGCACTTTGTGACTTAAATGCAAAACATCATGTTTTATTGAGAAATGCATAGAGAAAATGTGTATAGTTGTTTACTCAGTGTTTTTGGGGAAATGTTTTGTTTTTGTCAAGAAAAAAAGCCTGCTTTTTGTTGCACTGTATCTAATTTTAATTTCTTCTTTTAATGGGTTCAGAAAGTATTTCATTGATCCATACAGTCAAAGTGGGATCAGAATATTAAATTTGAGGCAAATGCACATAAATATGGAGACGATGCCTTAAAGAAACTGTTCTGATAAYAGAGTTTAAAACTGTAAATGTGCAGTGAAATAATAAAACACGGGTCAGTGCTGTTTTTCCTGGAACTACACGCTGTTTGTTGAGTAACAGTTGGTTTAAAGGCTCACCTGACACTTACCTGATGAAGACAGGAGCTTCATGTCTGTAAAAATTTAACTTTTAAAACCATCGAGCTGCAGCTTCAGGAACATAAGGCTTTTTAAACACGTTTTAAAAAGTCACATTTAATTTTTAATGCGGTTTAAAGTCCAAAGAGTACAGTCAAAGTGATGTTTTATAATACTATATGATCATTCTCTGCAGGAAGCCCCGCCCACTGAAGCTGCGTTCAATACTAAGTGGAAAAAATGGGAACTCCGCCTGGATGGCATTGAACAATTAGATAAGACAAATTATTACGTTTATACTTCAATTTTTTTATTCACTTATATTTTTTGGTTGACTTATTGCAGTAATTTTAAATAGAAGGCCCATTTCAAGACTATTTGGTCGACTATGTTGTTTAAAACTAAAACGTGTTATGGGTAAAACGTTATAAACAAAGTATTACATTATAGTATCATATAAATATATTCAGATGGTGAAATCTAAACTAAAAAAAAGTCTAAAAAGAGTGTCAGTCAGCAGGTTAGTTCTGTTTGTAAAGAATCCGCTCTGTTTCCAGTTGTGGATGATAAGATTTACGAGGGGACMTGAACGCATCAGAAGTCCGTTTCACGACCGATCCTTGAAGACAAGAAACTCAAACAACGACGCCCTAAAGTTTAAGTAAGTAAAAAATAAGCAAATATGTATATTCTTCAGTGTTATTAAAGGCTGGTTTTGTATTTAATAAACCTTTCCAACAGTTTGTGTGAAATAACTTTCCTTTAGGACGTGTTTTTATTGAGGTAAAGAGGAGTAACTAACGGTCTGCTGCTGTAGGAAAAAACAAAATCATGATTATTAATCTGTCAATTATGTGTTAATTATGATACTTTAACCCTGTTAGTTGGCAGTGCTCCGACTCGTAATGACGTTTGTGTTTGGTGTGAATTAATGGTCGCATTCCCAAATGTTGTTCTGCCCCACGAACCGAGCCGAACCGAACTGCGATGCACGAGGACTGAACTACCTTAAAACCATCAATCTGTGGTGGTCGATAATCCAGGCGGAGCTAGTGGACGGTACCAGTGGGAGACTATATGAACGTAAAGAAAAAACTAAACAGAAAGAACCGTGGGAACAGGGGGTGCTGAGGGTGCTACAGCAACCCCTTGTGGAGAACCGGAAGTAACGCATTTAACGTCTTGGTGGTGATTTGTGAGCKGTTGTCTGTTCAGTTAAGTATCTCATGAACTGTACACAGGTTTAATGAAACCTGGATAAACATCTACAGGTGTTTAACTTCTGAAGTTATGATGGCTGCTATAGCTAACGACCTTAGCCAACACAGAAATGTGACGTAGCTATCGTTGTTGTGACTTTCTGTTTTGCATTAACGTCCCTTACACAACCAGAAACTGCAGTTCCACTAATCCACTAACAGCAGAACTAATTTCTCATTAACGGATTTGCCTTTTTGCTAACTTTGGAAACTATTAGCGAACAATTAGCCTGTGCTAATTTGGGTTTCACTAATTTAAGATCACAAGAACAGCAACAAYAAAAAAAGAATTACAAGTATTTTTGCCATTTATCCTGAATTAATTTCAAACTATTTCCTCTTAGAGTGCTAGCCGTGGCAGGCAGCATGTGTTAGCATGTAGCATCTTCAGCAGCTAACTTCAAACTAAGAGCATCCCCAAAAAAAAACGTTTAATGATATTTAAATAACAAATACAAAAACTGTCAACATGTAAAAATGTGGCAGAGAAAATATTTTCTATTTGCTGTTTGACTAACTTCAAATGGTATTTATAAAAATAAAATTGATCAAATGAATGCTTTTGTTCTGAAGGGTCAACTATAAGTGTCACAATTTAGAGCTATAACTGGTTTGGATTGGTCAGTTTACCACAGATGATCCCGCCCCCTTCCAATTAAACCAATAGGAAACTAACAACAGGTTTGAGTCACTCCCTCTAGTCTTCAGCTGGAAGGATGAAGGCTAACAGATCTTAGGGGTTAGCGTTAGCTTCTGCTTATTTTTTATTGTTTTAGTGTTAGTGGAGCTAAGATTTTTAGTTAGTGGTTTAGTGGTTAGTGAAGCTAACGTTGTGTTTAGCTGTGTCTACCACTGCTCCTGACCCTTTAAAATGTTTGCTTTCTTTACAGCATCCAGATATTTTTACTATAAATACCTTTCTGCAGCCAGAGAGCTGCAGTGTCTCCTTACTGTCTCCTAAATGTCTCCTGTCTCCTGCCTCCTAACTGTTTCCTTACTGTCTCCTTACTGTCTCCTGTCTCCTGCCTCCTAACTGTCTCCTTACTGTCTCCTTACTGTCTCCTTACTGTCTCCTTACTGTCTCCTGTCTCCTTACTGTCTCCTTACTGTCTCCTGTCTCCTTACTGTTTCCTGTCTCCTTACTGTCTCCTTACTGTCTCCTTACTGTCTCCTTACTGTCTCCTTACTGTCTCCTTACTGTCTCCTTACAGTCTCCTTACTGTCTCCTGTCTCCTTACTGTTTCCTGTCTCCTTACTGTCTCCTTACAGTCTCCTGTGTCCTTACTGTCTCCTGTCTCCTTACTGTTTCCTGTCTCCTTACTGGTCTCCTTACTGTCTCCTTACTGTCTCCTGTCTCCTTACTGTCTCCTTACTGTCTCCTTACTGTCTCCTGTCTCCTTACTGTTTCCTGTCTCCTTACTGTCTCCTTACTGTCTCCTGTCTCCTTACTGCCTCCTGACTGTCTCCTTGCTGTCTCCTTACTGTCTCCTTACTGTCTCCTGTCTCCTTACTGTCTCCTTACTGCCTCCTTACTGTCTCCTTACTGTCTCCTGTCTCCTTACTGCCTTTACTGTCTCATTGCTGTCTCCTTACTGTCTCCTTACTGTCTCCTGTCTCCTTACTGCCTTTACTGTCTCCTTGCTGTCTCCTTACTGTCTCCTTACTGTCTCCTGTGTCCTTACTGCCTCCTTACTGCCTCCTTACTGTCTCCTTGCTGTCTCCTTACTGTCTCCTGTGTCCTTACTGTCTCCTTGCTGTCTCCTTGCTGTCTCCTTACTGTCTCCTGTCTCCTTATTGCAGATTATAATCTGTAGTTCATGTTGCAGCGTGTTGTAGACATGTGCTGTTACACGTTGAGCAGGAAACACTTCAACTCTTTCAGTTTTAATGTTCAGCTCAGGTGTTGGAGCCTGACCTCAAGGTTTGTTCTGAAAATACAGCAGGTTAAATTGTTGTTGTTGTTGTTGTTGTTGTTGTTGTTGTTGTTGTTGTTGTTGTTGTTGTTACTATTATTATTATTATTACAACTATTATTAATGTTGTTGTTGTTGTTATTGTTTTTGTTTTTATTATCAGTTGTTATTATCATTAATATTATTGTTGTTGTTGTTGTTACCATTATTACTATTACAATTATTATTAATGTTGTTGTTGTTGTTATTGTTTTTGTTTTT